TTTCAGCGAAGACATTTTCTACGAAATCGTTCAATCTCATCCAATAACGGAGTGCTAGACGAAACCATGCATTTCTGAGATACTTTCTTAGGCAAAGCAACAATTAAATGGACAAATTAAATTAACCTAGGGTTGGGTATGAAGGTCATTCCAAGGCCAAGACTAATTCGTTTTATTCCTCCATGGCTTGCCGTATGAGGTGGTCTCTGGTGCTCATTTCGAATTATTGATAACAGGAGCCGCATATATACCTGCCATAAGGTGTATAATGCATAGCACTTCTTAAAGGTCAGAATAGATTACTGACCTGGAATGACCCAGGTCAACATCTTGTTTTTAAGAACATATCGCCCCAGAAGGGTGAAACGCACGGCGGACCACATACAACCGTCAAGGTCAACCGGACCATACAGGCGCTCTCATTGGTCCTTTGAAGTGACGTAATGAAGTAGGCGGAGTGATATCGAGCAGCGCGCTAATGCCACATCTGCGAAAGTACACTAGGGGGGGGGGGGGGGGACGGGGATCCGACTGGAACGCTTCGGTACGAACAGGGCTTAGGGCACGCCATTGTGACCGGGCAAAAAATATCACCCTCTCGACCTAGAAATTCACTGGTAGCATTACAAGTAAGTACTCAGCCCAGGCGGTCAAAGGCTGACGCTTGGTTAACACCGCCATATCCCGCCAGCAGGCGCATCCATCGCGGTCATACCCAACCCAGCGTCATATGGACTCAGGCCCAGTTCGAAGACTGGCAACTAACATTGTTTGGGGCATGTTGGTAATCCAGGGGCCGATCTCAGCGCAAGGTTGCCCCTCATAGGACTGGCAGCGGCGACTTTCACGGGCTGCTATGTAATATCTGGGTCAGGCACCCTCAAGGCATTTGTACGGGTTTAGCGGTGAGTTCGTGAAGCTAATATTTCTCCCTACGCTTGCTCTCGTACTTAAGTTGACCTCCGGACTGGTACCGCCGCCGGGTGCGCGCCCCGACTCTCTCTCTCTCACTCCGCTCTCGCTCCTCTCTCTCTCTCCTCTCTTCTCTCTCTCCTCTATCTCTCTCTCTCTCTCGCTTCTCTCTTCTCTCTCTCTCTCTCTCTCTCTCCTCTCTCTTCTCCTCTATCTCTCTCTCTCTCTCTCTCTCTCTCTCCTCTCTCTCTCTCTCTCTCTCTCTATCTCTCTCTCTCTCTCTCTCTCTCTCTCTTCTCTCTCTCTCTCTCACACACATAACCACTCGCAGCCTTGTCCATCAAAGGATCATACGATGGTGTGGTCGTTTGTTGAACGGTGCCCAACCACGGTAGTAGTTCCGGCAATCGCGTTATTTAACGCGTTCTTTCTCCCTTCAGATTGGATGTGACCAGCCTTTCGGATCCTCAGCCCAGGTCACCAAACAGACTCGCCCTGCCAGAACGGCCTCCACGGAGGACATGTATGATATGCACACCACTGGTGCGCTCACAACCGTCTACGTGGGAGACGACTTCGCCGTCCGGAGTAGAGCTCCTCCCGAAGGAACTGAAGATGACGATGAAGATGCGGTCGCGGTCGCCACGATATCTAGTGATCAATGCGATCGCCGCGGTATCAAGCAGAATGGTTTCCGTGTGCTTGTCGGCAACTTTTCAAGGGCGGCACACCTCCGCCTGGTTGGTCAAACTAAGAGACGCTCTCGCCCGATGGAAAAGATTCGCCCTCTCATCTGCGTCACCTGCCCGGAGGAGAGCCTGACCTGGGATGAATGTGTGAGGCACGCGCTCAGCTCTGGCCACGGCCTGAAGGCCCGCTGTCGACTCTGCCGGCTGCCAGTCGTCCGGTGCAGTCGCCAGGGAAGGACCGTCATGTGGCACGGCTGCCATGTGTCACGACAGCTGGCGCGGGTCAAATTCGACAATGTGGCGGCGCGGCTGGAGGGTGTGCCAGTGACGAGGACGCAGCCACGGCTACGCCGCTGTCACGAGTGTGGCATGCAGTTCAAGGGGAAGCTGACACCTCTCTTACAGCACGTGATGGACGCGTCCCATGCAGTACAGCGTCACTGCACCACGTGTCAGTTCCCGGTATTCGCGTACACGCTGAACGCCGAGTATCGCGAGCTGCATGTGTGCGTCGGTGGAATTCAGTGACTACAGGAGCACGAGGCCCGCGCACCCTCAGACGTGACAGTGGCTCGCCGAAACAAGATCCGGTCGGAAGCACAGAAGGCACGGCCTCCGATTAATCTGGGGTGCTGCAGCTGCAGCTCCAGCAGAGAGCCAAGCACGAAATGGACTACCGCCTTGGTAGTCTTGAGCGCGAAATCGCTTTAGGACACATGCTTTCAGCCCTTTTTATAGGCATGTGTCACTCAGCAATGCTGAACTATCATATCCTATGAATCAATTCCTTAAAGCGCCACTTGCGTCGAGCTTACTGAGGCTTTATTGCGTAGCAGAACGTTTAGTAGAGTGGCAGTCACCGTATAACACAAGAATAAACATCGAACTGAGAGTGTGAGAATACTCCCCCCCCCCCCCCCCGTAAGTTAACCTGAGGATATCTCTCCGGTATGTCTTGTTATCGTGCCCAAATTTGCAGTAGCCTTTGGAGCACCCTATCTTTCCCCTTCCTGTTGCGCTGTGCCGGGAATCGCTCTGCTTTGATGAATAAACGATTTTTTTCCGGGTCCCGCACACCCAAGCCGCTGTGTGTGAGAGGCGGGAACAAGTGTGGAGTTATCTGAACCACGATTGCATTTACCGTGAAAAGCTGGTGCAGCTTGATACTTCACGGCGGCGGCTGGCGCGGCGTGCCGGCTAACGACACGAGAATATTGCATTTCGGACTCCGGCAGTAACCGAGGGTCACTTTGGAAGCCTTGTCACTTTTATGTCAGTTTTCCGTTATTCATGGAGGAGGGGTGTGTAAGTCCTCTGTTTGGGTGTATAAGCGCCATACATCGTTGTGGAGGGCGCAAGCGCAGGCGCAGCACGTTCTTTTCACTTTGGATTTTGAAACACACCTTAGATAGAGTGAACCTTGACTATACCAGAGAAAGTCTAGCGGGGTTCGGGCCTTGCATTGCCTTGGTCGGGCCTGAGAGTAAACATTTGGGGAAGCGGGGTGTGCTGTGGGCGTATGATTGTAATTTGAAACCATTATTCGTCGTCGTGGGGTCTGGGAAGACGGTTCCAGGTGGACCGGAGGGTACGTAGGATAGGCGCATACCGGGTTTTCCGCCTGCCGCCTCCATTGTTGATAGTAAATTCATTAACAGCGTCAATCTAATTGTGAGGAATCGCTTGCTGAAGTCTGATCTTTTTAACTGTCTCTGTCACATTTCGTGGTGGTTTTAATAGTTGTATTCTGCATATTTTAGCACCCAAAAAGTGCATGTGCATGAAAAGTAGGCACTTTTCTAGCTATGTTTGGTCTCATCGAAGATGCACTGTGGAAGTAGATCATATCTTCTTCCACAGGGTATGTCTGGTGACATGTCCTCCATCCAAGTCAAAAATTTATGGCTGTGCATGAGGCTGATACACCATGTAAAAATATTGTGATGATATGCACATGAGAAATTCATGAAATTGTGTGTCTTCTCAGAGCCAAATTGTCTGTCTTTGAATTGTGGGACATGTGTTTAGGCCGAGTGGGCAGGTGGTTAACACATCACGCTCTCAAGTGGTGGGCTTCAGTTCCAATCGTAGTGACGGCAGGGTCCTTTCACAGTATCATTGGCGTGGAGGAAATATACTGAATGCTTATGCTGCGATGCAATGTAGTTTTGTCAACAGTATCAGATAAATTCCATAGAACAGTGTTCTAAATTGATACTGTTCAGCTCCTGCAAGCAACAATGACCACTTTCATCTCCAAAATTCAGGATGAGAGGGTGAATTTGGGTTTAAGATCATCTTGCAAGTCTTTTGTTATATCACCAAGCAATTGAACAAATAGGTTATGTGAGCAACTTTACCTAACCTAATCCTAAACCTATTTATACACCAAATTCTGCACTCATGTACTCCGTCATTTGCCCTTGCATCTTATCTTCCCTCTTCCTCCTTGAACCCAACCCGGAGCCTCCTTGCAGTGGCTGCCCCTGACAGACCACAAAATGTTATTTTTTGATTAGGCTGAGAGAGGCACACATGATAAGTGTTTGGTCAATTATGTCTGTAACTTCTCTAAACATAACAAAAAATTGCATGTCTGGGTATAAGAAGGGCTGAGATTCAGATCAGCCTTTGGTCAATTATTGTTTTGTCCCATTGTTATAAACATCATATTTAGCCACTTGTTTGACTAATCAAGGACCAACACCCAACAATAGCTTCCCATGACATATCAGTATGCTTAGGACAGGGTTGAACACATTTGGGACACTACAATAACTTGTTGGTTTGATTTCCCAGGGATGTTACAACTGACTTCAGATATGTAACCTTGAGTGCATGTCACACACATAAACACACAATGCACATATCCTGAACCATGCTTGGACTGCATGCCATCACTGCTACCACTTTCTCAGTTCTTTTTTGTTAGAAAATCATTCAACCGAACAGTCATACACAATGGATATTATGCACTCCTGAGACATCAGTATGTGATGTAATATTATGCACTCCTGAGACATCAGTATGTGATGTAATATTATGCACTCCTGAGACATCAGTATGTGATGTAATATTATGCACTCCTGAGACATCAGTATGTGATGTAATATTATGCACTCCTGAGACATCAGTATGTGATGTAATATTATGCAGGTTTTCAACTCCATAATCAGGCAAATAGCCCTAATTATCTGTGTAGTGCAAATGCCAAAGTCCTTCACTATGTCCTGCTTCATAATGCCCACCTGTGTAGAAATATTTGGTGTCTCAGATCTTCACATATCTGGCTTCACTGCTGAGCTGTATTTGCATGCATGTGCATGTGTGCAACTCACATTCTATAGAGGTTTCTAAAGAGGTGTTCATCATTGTTATCTGGACATTAGAAGACAGCTGGTGTCTGTGCCTGTTTTTCATTATTTGTTTCATAATTATCAGCAGAAGTTAAACTTTAAAGACAAAAATAAGCTACCAGTCACCACCGCAATCGGCGCACTATAAACTCCAATAAACAACAACAGAAGTTTCATCAGTGCCTCCACAAAGTGTTGATTGATTGTTTGACATATCAGCTCAATATACCTCTTTGATCCTTGCAGTACTCTGCTGTTAATAATGACACTAGTTGGCGATCCTTTAGTGACATGTGATGCTAGTGCCATAGAGGCTCTTGGAATCAATGTCCGGCCATGTTTATCTGCCATGAAGCTGCGGGCCTGACACATGCATATAGAAACCTGACATATGGTGTCCAGGATTAGAAAGAGAAGATGCTGAAGCATTCCCCCACGACCATCCTCGATTCGTTAGGTCGCGACTGCCATGTACCAAGTCGCGAGTTTGATCTTGATCACCATTCTGATGCCTGCCATCACGCTACAATATTCATTATTACGGAAACCGATGCCTTCCCACAGCTGTGTAAATCGCGTGGTCTGGCCGAAGTCTCCCTCAGCCTCGAACCGGCGGCGCGGCCATGGCGAATCCAGCCGAGGTAAGTGTGGCAGCAGGCTCGTGAAGCCCCTTCCGGATCCGGGCGTGAAGAAGGCTGCATTGTGAGCCCGCGGACAGGACTGACGTCGGCCGGCCCGGACTGGGGTGTACCAGGCCATCACCTGACCCTCTTTGGGGGGGGGGGGGGAGAGGGTCATGTAGCTGCTCATCAATTGGCCCTTGCCTGAGGGTAGGGGAACGTGTTATAAGTTGTCCCGATCTGGGACGTACGCATTGTATGTTTGCCTCATACAGTGCATCTGTATGCAGCCGCAGAGTAAGCACCTGCAGGCACGAGTTGTAGCGAGGCGTATGTTGGTTGATCGTTTCCTTCCTCATCATCTAACATGTGGAGCTTTCTTCACGCAGTTTGTCTTGCTTGTCGTTTGTGATTATTTACCTTTCTCCCATATTGATGGTGGTGGTGATATGAAGTGTAAGTTATTTGGTGGGTCATTATTCTTTAAAACTGAGTGGCTGCACTAAATGGTAACACCCAATGGATGAGCGGGCCGTTCTTGCCCCGCGTCGTTGATAAGGGTCCTATCAATGCGGCCTGTCACGTCGCGTCCCCTCCCCCCCCCCCCCCCCCCCGCCCCGGCTGATATCTGCTGTGTTTTTGTACGCTTACGAGACGAGGATATGTTGCCATTACAAACTTCCCGCAATGTAATATGTTTTTAAAGGTGACTCCTCCTCTCCCTTCGGTTAGTTCTTGCCAGGTGTTTCCCGAAGTTGGGTGGAACGCCAACAACATTGCTCATTGAAACCACTGTCTTCGCTTCGGTCTCACTGGGCGCTAACGTTCCTTGGTCGGTTTGTGCCTGAACATGATCTTGTACGTTTGTCCTTTCTGATGAACGTTTCAAATGTTGTGGCTTTAACGCCTTGATCTGTTTGCTAATCGGCAATTGAGCTGCAAGGCGATTTATGTGTGATTGATTTTAACTCCAATGAAGGCACCTGCGTACATACGGATTCGAGTGTTTGCATTCCTGTCCTGTACAACGTGCCCAGCCCCCACGAGAGGCTTACACAGGTGAAGCTCGTGTGGACCTATCACTGCTGGTGGGCCCTTCCGGTGCGGTGTGGTGGCTTCACGTATGCGGCGGCCCTGTTTCAGCGGCGGCTGCAGAAGGAGCTGATGAACCTGACCACTGAGCCGCCGCCGGGCGTCACCGTTAACCCAGAGGAGATCGGTGACAACCTCTCGGAGTGAGTGTGTTGCGCCACATCTGGTGACGCACTCCGTACTTCTCCATCTGATGTTGCACTTGCGACGGAGCGATAGCAGGACCCAGGCAGGCGGGCACACGACAACGGCATCGGCCTTATCCGCTTCCTTCTCGGCACAACAACAGGGAAAGACTGCCGAGATACCGGGCCACGTCAGACGCCGGCGAAAATGCGAGCAGAATAGGGCATTCGTTTATTGCGCTGCGTGTTTCGTCTTAAGTAACGGGGGTATTAGGCCATCTACGGAGACATGGAAATGAGACTACGAAATTAATAATTTAAGAAACTGAAAAACTGACAATGTCGCCGGAAGTGAGAACAATGCAAACAGAGACGCCCCAATGCAGAAAAGGTCAGAATATGCCCGTAAACGCTTACATGTTCAACTTGGTTGACGCGCCAGTAACGAAAACGCCACCGTCGGGCGCGTAGGAGCACCGCAAGTGGGTACCACCTACCATTTTTTGCGGTCACTGTCACACGGGCACCCTGTATGCCACAACGGTCACACTTGATGGCGTGCCCTTACCCCTCCGAGTGAGTGTCACACGTGATGACATGCCTCTGCCTCTCCGAGTGAGTGTCACACCTGATGTTTCCTTACCCCTTCGAGTATCACACCTGATGTTCCCCTGCCTCTTCGAGTTAGATCACACCTGATGTTTCCCTACTTATCCGAGTGAGCGTCACACCTGGTGTTCCCTTACCCCTTCGAGTGAGTATCACACCTGATGACGTGCCCCTACCCCTCCGAGTGAGTGCCACACCTGATGACGTGCCCCTACCTCTCCGAGTGAGTGTCACACCTGATGACGTGTCCCTATCTGTCCGAGTGAGTGGCACAATCTCGACACCACAGCTGCGACAGTCAATTTGAAACACATGGGTCCGGCGCGTCAGTTTTAATGCTTTATTGGTGAGCCTCCGTCCCTAAAAAAAAAAAAAATGTTGCGCACGTGTGACATAACGGTGAGTTGAATGCGATCTGCGTTTCGGATGTCTGTCTGTTGGGGCACGATGCGTGGTTTCCGGCATTTTCGCGTCACGCGACCTGTGCCCTTCCCTATGGCCTTAGCAGCTCGTCGGGGTAACTAACCTGACCCCACGTGGCCTCGCCCTGGCTCCCCGCTGCGACTGGACAGTCACGGTGGCTACTCTAACGTGTTTGACCGTTTGGCCCCACAACATAGTGTGTGATCTCGTCTTCCGTGACCTTGTGTGTGTGACATGACCCCCGCCCTGGCACTGCTCAGTGACTACCTGTCCGTCGCCCCCTCCCTCTGAGGTGGCCCGATCTCTTGTGACCTGACCTCTTGTGACCTGACCTCCGCGACCCACCGCAGCGGGGCATTGCGTGGCCGGTGCCTCCTCGCACGTGACCTGACCGCAGTGACCTGATGTGTGACCTGACCGACGCGTCTCGCCGCAGCTGGACGGTGACCGTGGCCGGCCCGGCGTCCTCGCTGTACGAGGGCGAGACGTACCGCCTCAACTTCCGCTTCAGCCAAAAGTACCCGTTCGATTCGCCAGAGGTAACGTATCTCCACGTGTCTTGCGACGGCGGACGTCTTCAAACCTGTGGGTGGGGATGGGGGATGGGGAGGGGGTCAGGGAGAGGTGCAGTCTGCAGATGGGACAGAGCTGTGTTGTCGAGGTTCGCGCTGATATGGATACGTATTGGCTGGAAATCGACGGAATTTCATGGCGGTTTTGGACAGCTGTCAGTGCGTGGTAGGGTAATTTCCGGTGTATGCGTTTTTGACGTGCACTTTCGGTGCGCCGCTGCATCAGTATCGTCGCCTTGAAAGCTGGCATGTTTGTGGACCGTCAGGCTGGAAAGGGAAAATCACAATAACATCAGTAAATCATATTCGAGCGGCACAGCTGAGTGAGCCCCAATATGTCTGCACACCGCAACGCTCCTAGCACCTAAGTTGGCGCGCGGCAAACAGGCCAAAGTGATCTTGGTGCAAGGGAGAAGCTGTATTTGCGCGGCGTAACAATTCGTATTCGTATTCGTATTCGTAGTGGGCGGCGCGGTATTTTTTGACGACAGGGCTAAAAATGTATATTTGGATTTATTTACTTTATAGTTGAAGGTAACGTGTAAGAAAGAACATTGGTTGTATTTGGCAGCGATAATACGAACGGAAGTTTTAGCGTTTGATGTATTTTGATCAACTCGGCGATAAAGTTTTCCGAACCTCTGGGGAACCGGAAAAGCAAGCTTGATTGAAATCATTAGAAGCTGCCAGGTTTTGGGGGCGGGGTGGTCAGCAGGTGGGGAATAGATGACGTAATCGGCGCGATCGCCGTGCCGAAGCCACGTGAGTCGGCCCTGGAGATCCGCAATCTGTGGCAGCCTGTCTGCACGGTCCCCGCCAGTGGGAGGTGTTGCCCTTCGCCTGGTGTACTAGCGCGAACGTCGGTAGGCTGACGAGTGCTGGGACGCTGCACGGCCTCGCGCCCGGTGCGCCTGGAGACCCGCATTAGCGTCCCGGAGCCATGTGGTGACTGCTCGACCAACCATGCTCTGTTCTCCAAAGATCAAGGCGTGTCCGAGAAGCTCGATAAATCCCGCGCACGACGTGGGTGCGTCGGGGACTGGTCGGCCGTTGGCAGAACGATTAGATCCAATCGAAATTGTGGATCGCGACATTGTTCAAGTACTGTTGATAGTGGAAGTGCAGCAGCACGTGCATTTTCCGTCGAGGTGTGGATGAGCGGTGTCCTCCGGGTGCGCACGTGTTTTGACTCGTCTCTCTGACTCTATTTGACTCGACTGGCTCACATCAAGGGAACGCAGTACACCTGGGAGGGGTTGTATATCCTCCCATTGTCAGAGGATGTGACAGTAAGTGGAGTGGACTTTCTGGCTTGCTTTTCGTGTGCGATTGCTACCTTTATAGAGATTGTGTATCATTAAGCCTGAACGGCCGTATCGCTCCGTCTCGCCCCTCCGCGCCCTACGGCGTCGGGTTTCTGCGCCGCTAGATCCGGTAGCCGTTGTGACACCACTGTGACGAGACGAAAGTGTTCACCGGGCTGGAACGGATCTGCGTTGCCACCTAGTGGACAAGCGACTAACTTGTGTTCGGTCTCTGCGCCGCCAGGTGGTATTCCTGCGCCCCAATATCCCCGTACATCCGCACATCTACAGTAACGGCCACATCTGCCTTTCGATCCTGACCGAGGACTGGTCGCCGGCGCTCTCCGTCGCCTCCGTCTGCCTCTCCATCACGTCCATGCTCTCTAGCTGCAAGGACAAGGTGAGTGCTGCACGCAGCCTACCGGACTGAGTCCGGCGTGTGTGTGATGGTGACGCCGGAGCTAGGGCTGCCAACGGCTGGCATTGCATTGTGTCCGAGAATGCAGCAGTTAATGGTAAGACGTGGACCGTAAGAAGACCAGCAGAAGTGCGGAATTAGGACTCAGATTCACGGCGCGGTGTTCTTCCTCGCAGATTCGCAGCGATGTCTGTATCCGCCTAGGCTTCACCCCGACCCAGCCCCCACCCCCTGCCTTGCTCCTGTAACCTCCCCACCCCTCTCCCGGCGTCCAAGGGGTCCATTCGAGCTGAAGGGAGGCTGATCGTTAATGAAACAAGGAGAAAGTCCTTTGAAGAGGGCTGCAGCCAGCTTGGGCAGGAGATGTGCCTGCATCATTTCCATGGATGAGGAAATGGCACAGCCTGATGCTTATTTGAAGACCTGGCGAACCGTATGTGATCCATGCAGTCAATCAGCAGTTGTGGCTAGTGAGTGTAATGGGCCACTTGCGCTCCTAAGGCGGCGATGGGTACAGTCGTGGGGTTCAGTCGCTTTGTCAATGTGCGGATTACCATGAGGCGCACGTGGAACTTAGCAGACAGACAGTTGCGCCCCCACAGGCCGAAAAGCACACGTGTGCTCTCTCTATGCAAGGTCTGCGGGTATGTGGTGCGATGATGGAGACTTCGCCCTGGTCATGGTGCGATGCTGAATTCACTGTGGTTAGAACACGTGATCCCCACTACCCCTCCCCAGCGGGCATACGCAGGCAGGTGTAGACCACACAATCTCTCTGGCCATCGCCCTGTCGCCAGCAGCGGTCTCCGTGCGGAATCTCGAGCTTGCTCTGCGACGAAGCGCAGGACTTACGGCGTTTGTACTGGCGCAGGCGCGTGGCGGGATGCCCCGTACAGTTGTCCTGTTATGCGTGTCCTGTTGGCCGTGGTGTTTGCTGGGCTTACGTGCTACCGTGTCCTGTTGGCTGGCGGGTGTACTGGTCTCACGTGCCGCCGCTGTTCTGCTGCGTAGCGGGGTACTGGTCTCACGTGCCACCGCTGTGTTGCAGAAGCGGCCGCCAGACGATGCCTTCTACGTGAAAACGTGCAACAAAAACCCCAAAAAGACCCGATGGTGGTATCATGGTAAGGAAAGCGCCGCTTGCAGCTGACCTCTGATTGGCAGCTAGATGGGCGGTTACACTCGTGCTGCTTTCGGAGCGTTAAGATGGTCGCCCAGCGCTTTGCTTCGCGACATCCGACAGCGTGCTTTGGTTTCATGCCGACATCTTGTTTGTTTCGCGCTTTGGGATCATGCCGACATCGGTGGGTTTGGAACCGTGTGCCGGGACTTGCTGGAATGGTCTGATAGCTGCGGTGGAGAGGATCTCGAGCGCTGACGCAACGCACCCTCCTTTTCCAGATGACACAGTGTGATGCTAAGCGGGCCTAGTGTCGCGGTCGCTTGTCTGTGATGGTGGCGCCTCACCGCGGAGGGCGAGTGACATTGCCGGCCGGCCGTGAGCGAGCCTTTCCGTGTGCTTGTCCAGCTTTAATGGAGCGCCAGCTCGTCAGGCGGCGCCGGCCGCCGGGCCCTCTGCTGGCCTCTGGCACGCGGCGCCGGCCGCCGGGCCCTCTGCTGGCCTCTGGCACGCGTGCGGACAGACACCCGGCCGACTGGGCGGCGCTCTGTGTACGCGGTCCACCGGCGGTCGGCCCGGCGCGAGGCCCGCCCGGACGGGACGCCGGCCGCCCGCACCGCGTCGGCCTGTAGTGAGTTTAATTATCGAGTCCCATCGGGCGCTCGCCCTGTTTGCCTTAGGCTCGTTGCACGCTCAGCGCATGCCGCGGCATGGTAGCCATTCCTCGATAGGCCTATTTTATTTTCTTACCTGTGCAAGTCACCCTCTGCGCGCGAGTGCTGGGGCGTCGTCGCCCGCCGGTCAGGGCACGGTCACTCGCCCAGGCGCTGCTGGCGCGGCCAGGTCACTGCCGCCGGACCGCGCCGCCGCCGGGGGCTAGCGAGTCGGAGTGCCCTGAGGGAAGTCAGGCTTGGTTGCTGTGTGTTAAATATTTGTTGTTTCACGCGGTTTGTGGTGAACCCGGTTTAGCCCGTGAGGGAAGTTGTATTCTGGCAATCACGCATTGGACTTTGAGGGATTTTAATACTTGAGATAGCGTTTAGTAGTGTGATTTCAATACATGGCGAGACAATTCCAGCATGGTGTGGTTCGGGTGCGTGCCATATCTCAACCCAGCCGAAACGTTGAAGTGTGTTCTTCCTCGAACCCATTCGCCCATCAACTTGATTCTGCATTCGACACGTGCGACCATGAAGAAAACCGTGTCCCCGTGCGGAAGACGCCGTGCGCTGCCAGTCACTTTCATCTTCAGCCTTCAGTGGGTCAGCCTTCCCGTCTCTCGTTGAGCTCCCGTGTTCTCTGCGCCACTTCTTCGAGTGAAATCCGCTTGCGACAATCGCCGCAACACCCCTTGCGATTTGTAACTTTGCGACTGCCGGGTTATTGTGGGGTGCCGTGACAGCTACGCTGATTGCGTTTGTCAGGCATGTGCGTTCGCCCACCGCAACGACCATGTGCTGCACCTGGGTCCGGCCGTCACCGGAGCATTCTTGTGTCTGTGTGTCAACAGAGCACCTCTCTCACATAGTCCAGACTGTACATTTCAACTGGGCGTTGCCATTGATCCCACACAAACTGCGGCCACTTCAAAACGACTTCTCGGAGTCCGGGGTCACAGAAGTGATCTGACGCCTCGTGTACTCCGTCTGACAGGGTCAGCACGTTGGGGCATGGTGCTGCGCTGGGGTACGCCGGGTAGCACGGGTCCTCAGGCTGCCCCCTGCTGGGAGACGTCCCGCCATACCGGTGCCTGCTGAGGGCCCGCGTGAAGCGACCACCTGCTGGGAGATGTCCCGCCACATCTGTGCCTACTGAGGGCCCACGTAAAGCATTCACCTGCTGGGAGAGGTCCCGCCACCAGTGCCTGCCGAGGGCCCACGTAAAGCGGTCACCTGCTGGGAGAGGTCCCGCCACTGTTGCCTGCTGAGGGCTCACATAAGGCTGCCACCCGTTGGGAGAGGTCCCGCCACCGGTGCCTGCTGAGGGCCCACGTGAAGCGGCCACCTGCTGGGAGAGGTCCCGCCACCGGTGCCCGCTGAGGACCCACGTGAAGCGGCCACCTGCTGGGAGAGGTCCCGCCACCGGTGCCCGCTGAGGGCCCACGTAAAGCGGCCACCTACTGGGAGAGGTTCCGCAACTGGTGCCCGCTGAGGGCCCACATCAAGCGGCCACCTGCTGGGAGAGGTCCCGCAACTGGTGCCTGCTGAGGTCCCACGTGAAGCGCCACCTGCTAGAAGAGGTCCCGCAACTGGTGCCTGCTGAGGTCCTACGTGAAACGGCCAGCTGACCAGCTGCACCAGAGGAACAACATTGGAGTTTGTATTTACGTTGCATGAGTGACCCGGCCACCAGCCGCTCTGGTTCACCAGCTCGTTCTGCGGTATATACGAGGATCATGCGGCAGAATAGAATTTTCGTAGACTGGGTGCTGACAGGACGCGGAATCTGAGGCGATCCACACCACGATTATCCGCTATCTACTCATCAGTGGCGTTTATGTAAAAATGGCGAGTAAAATGTACCATTTGTTGTCCCATATTCGCGCAGGATGCAATTTCGAAGGGTTTAACTTGTAGAGTTATTTTGTGCAGCTTTGCGTCTTTCAGAAATCTGCCCATTTTAGTATGTCGAGGGGTTCAAGCAGCGTTGGGGGGAAGGCCATTCAGACAAGTGGTAATCGGAGGGGACCCAGGTGCTAGCTTGCTTTTGGATGGAGATAAAATAGGCGGAATCAGTCGGGTTTTGTGTGTGTCAGGCAGGATCAGTAGATTTACGATGTGTAACAGAGAGTTCATAAAACGTTGCGCTCGTGCACAGACTCGCGGCCTAAATTTCATGAAGGGGGGGGGGGGGGTCAGACCATAGGACTCTTCTTAGTAAAGCCAAAGCAGATCGCGAATTCAACTCGTTTGAATGTATTGGTTTAATTGATAATCTCACTTCATTTTCGAATCCAGTGTGCACTGATTTTAAACCCCCATCACAGGGCACGTACGGCGGTAAAATATCACAAAATTGTTGACCTGAGGGGAGGGAGTAGGCGGTATTCCCTCCCTGACTGTGTACACGATCAGGTATGATTCCAATCAAATATCTTCAGTAAGTATGATTGTTACCGAGTCAGAATTCACTCGAGCATGTTTGCCGCAATCAGCCTGATGTGTCTTTTGGCACGAATGATATGAGTCGACTTGCACAGTAATATTGTTCTCAGTAATATTGTTATCAGTCTCATCGGCCCAGCGGGGATTCATTGAAGTGTTTTTAACTGGAATCAGACGTTACTTGACTTAGACATGGAAATTACATGTAATGTCCCATTTCGACACCAAGCGGACACAATATATTCAACCATTGATGACGTCTGTCTTATTTTGGAAAGTATTCTAATATGAACCCGCCGGCAGGCGCAATACCGAACGCATGATGTTCTCGGCTGTTGTCATTCGAGCCGACTCACTTGAAACTGTTGCCAGAACCTACATCTCCTAATAACACATGTGTCGGGATGTGAGAAGGCACGGGGCTCTATCAACATCCGGTGGGTCACATCCTGTGGTCTCAGACCGCGGCCGGGTGGAGCGGGATGCTGGTCTCGGACCCGTCCACCCCTGTCAACACCAGGTTGTCCACGGCGATGGCATCCAGCTTGTGGTTGCGTCGGAAGCCGAAAATGCAGATCTGTCGAACAGAGTGCAGTCTCAGTCACCGTCACCAATAAACTGTGTGACGCACGCGTGCAGCGGGGGTCTTTGTTCACTCATGGAATGATGCCCTCACGACATGCATGCCCGTATATCGCGCAGGTGGCCACCAAATCTGTGGAGTCGGATCGCGGTACTCGGCCTTGGCCTTTGCGTGGGGTGTGTGACTCAAGGTGGTGCGTGGAGCGTGTGACTCAAGGTGGTGCGTGCGGCGTGTGACTCAAGGCGGTGCGTGCGGCGTGTGACTCAAGGTGGTGCGTGCGGCATGTGACTCAAGGTGGTGCGTGGGGCGTGTAACTCAAGGTGGTACGTGGGGCGTGTGACTCAAGGTGGTGCGTGGGGCGTGTAACTCAAGGTGGTGCGTGGGGCGTGTGACTCAAAGTGGTGCGTGGGGCGTGTCACTCAAGGTGGTGCGTGGGGCGTGGGACTCAAGGTGGTGCGTTGGGCGTGTGACTCAAGGTGGTGCGTGGGGCGTGTGACTCAAGGTGGTGCGTGGAGCGTGTGGCTCAAAGTGGTACGTGGGGCGTGTGACTCAAGGTGGTGCGTGGGGCGTGGAACTCAAGGTGGTGCGTGGGGCGTGTGACTCAAGGTGGTGCGTGCGGCGTGTAACTCAAGGTGGTGCGTGGGGCGTGTGACTCAAGGTGGTGCGTGGGGCGTGTGACTCAAGGTGGTGCGTGGAGCGTGTGGCTCAAAGTGGTACGTGGGGCGTGTGACTCAAGGTGGTGCGTGGAGCGTGTGACTCAAGGCGGTGTGTGGGGCGTGTAACTCATGGTGTGTGGGGCGTGTGACTCAGGGTGGTGCGTGGGGCGTGTAACTCAAGGTGCTACGTGGGGCGTACAACTCAAGGTGGTACGTGGGGCGTGTAACTCAAGGTGGTACGTGGGGCGTGTGACTCAATGTGGTGCGTGGGGCGCGGACCTCTTCGCACAGTGCGTGAACACCTGAACTACGCGCTAACGGATGACGTCTAGAGCCGCCATTTAGGCGATAAGCTGTGGCGCCTCAGGTAACAAGCCGAAACACAAGTCGAGTAGTCAAGTTTGATGAGGACGTCAGGATGACCTGACTAGGTCATGCATACCTTCCAAAAATGATGGCATATTTTCTCGCTCGGAGGGTGACATGCGTCGATGTTGAGTCATTAAGCGGGCGTGGGAGTCAGCTCCGTCAGACTTACCCTGGACTGGGTAGTTTGCGACGCCGGCACATCAGCCTCAGCCTGACGCCACTCGTTGTTGTCGGGTGTGGCGTAGGAGGAGAGATCGAGGAACGGGTTCAGCTCCTGGCCGCCCTCCACCCGCTTCAGGATCAGGTTAGCTGCTCCGATGTACATCGACCGGATCCAGTAGCTCAGTCTGCGTGCATCGACCGGTTGTTTGAGAACGAGTTATCGTTATGCTCGCCAACATTCTAGCAACAACCGTACATGCACTGTGCAGGGCTCGAGGATTCTTGACTATGAGGATTCCGTTGCTCGGCGCGAGAAAATGCAGGCATAAATTGCTCGCTTGCGTAAATGATGCGCTACTAGGGACAAACGAGCCACTGCTGTTGTTTGAAAGCCCGTTCTGGAGTTGCACTTTACATGTTTCCTTATTGGAGCGAGGCGAATTCGTTGAACGCTCCGTTCTCGGCCCCCAAATCCCGGCCAGGGAGTCCCATACCTCCTGTTGCAACACGCCCCAGTTCGGATCATGCGCGGCGCACGATCACGGTCGGGCCACCCCTGACTATGCTATGCCACAGATAGAGAACGGCACTGTGGTCATTACTTGATCTTGGCTCCGGCCGGGAAGGTCAGCAACGGACTGTAGAGATGGGCAGCCGCCGAGTCCTTTCCCTCGTTGGGGAAGACCATGGTGACGCCCGAGTCGCCGTCAGGTCTCTGCGGCATGTCCAGGTCGGAGGCGTTCCTCCAGAGCTGCGGCGGAGCGCCTGCCAGCGTTAGCAGGGTAGGAGGGCCTGGTGGGGTGAGGTCGGGGCGTATAACACACAGACAGCCATGAACGTGACGCACAGATGTGCGGCCAACGCGGCTGATAGCTTCATCAGGCTATTGATCAGGCTATTGTTGTCTCAGAGTGAGCTTTAGCCAGCTTTAGCGAGATCGCGGTGACTTTAGCGAACTTCGCCGAAGTCGTCACAACCTCGGGAGGCTGCCTGCTGGGTCTGATGCTGACACGGAATTAAGAACGGAATTAATCGTGACGTAACGATCGATATGATGTAAGGTGAGTTCATACCTTCACCAATGTACGTTATCTAGATAGCATAACCGCACCACCTTCTTGCTTCCTGTGTTCCGCTAAAGCAGTGAGCATGCCTGTCCGCCAGAGGCGGTCCGTGGAGACAGCAAATACGCCGTTTGACCCC